AAAAATATTATATATATAACCATGGTAGCCCCGGCTCTCTACTGGCAAGGTCCACACGGAAAGATTCCCGCTGCAATCCGAGAAATCTGCTGGTTGGCATTGAAAAGGACACCAATCTCTGCTGAAGGCCACTATTCCTGTTCATGTTCCCTCTCAGCAGGTATTGCTATGAGCCACCAGACTCTTCCAAACTCATGGATCAGAGTGTTTCCCATCGCCAGTAAACCACAATGATGATGGATCGCCTTCATGATGTCACTTAGCCTCGCAGGGCCTCCAGTTCCAAATTTTTTTTATCATCACGTGCCAGAGGACGCCAAGCTCTAGCCTCTCTGCCAAGAAGTACAGTCCGCTTGGCGGAATGCCTTGGCGGGTCGAGAGCTTTTATGCCGGAAATGATCAGGCGAGCAAAGCTGCAATTCTCCAGGGCGGAATGTAGGCTGGTCAGCATGGGGATAGTCGTAGGGCTGCATTTATGGGGAAGCCTTGCACGACCCGGGAGGAACCAACATCTGAAATCTGACGAAATAGATCAAGTTGCTTTCCACAGTCTTGAATTTTGACTGTTAAAGTTGAACATCCTTGATCACAGTGGTTGGAAGTTATGTCGCCATAATGCAGAATAGTAGATCGGAAGTGTTCAACACGAGGAACATTCTGGACCGAAAAGATCCCTGAACTGATATTTGCAGCGGCTTGAACCGGTTGGTATAATGGTTATGAGGGTTTGGGGATACTTTTTTGCCCCGCCGATAACCTGTAACCTCCGTTTCAAATGAACGCTCATTTGCTCTCCCTTCAACGCCAAGATAGGACTTGGCCATGCCAAGAGATTCCTCCGCTGCGGATCAATAGTATCTTTCACACTCCATGGCCCGAGCGGAAGAGTGGAGTGGTGCTGATTGGTGTAGGAACTGGAAACGGAGCATGCTTTTGCCTTTTGAGTTGGTGCCATGCGGGCGAATGATGTAAGTGGCGAATTCTTCCAGAGTACTAATGTAGTAGGAGCGGTATTTCCGGATTCACTCTGGGAGCAACTTAAAAGAGCACAATGCCCCCACTAAATCGGTACCGATCTTTAAAAAAGCCAGTTGGTCGGTCGCTGTTAAACGGCGGTTAAAAAAAAGGTTCCGCCCCGAGAATAAATTGTTATCCGTTGCAGCAAGACACTGAGTTAGAGCACAATATATTGGCTATTTCTCTTCCTGTTATGGAGAAAAGCCCCCGGACGCAGGACCCGGGCGTCAGCCCTGGTGCCTTATCTCACCCGGCATACTGCTTGACCTATGACGAGACCATTCAACAACTAAACACTCATCCCGATGATGGGCTCACGGCGGAAGAGGCCAAGAGACGCCTCGACTTATATGGACCTAATGTGCTCGACGAAGGAGAAGGAGTGTCAATCATCAAAATCCTTATCCGTCAAGTAGCTAATGCGATGATGCTAGTTAAGCGGCCCATTTTCTTCACTTCTTTCGAACCTATGTCGCATAGAATTCCTCTAGTCTGATCCAGTTTTCTTTTTGTGTCTATAGGTCCTCATTATGGCAATGGCTGTGAGTTTTGGAATTCAGTCCTTCATTGAGGGAGGAGTCATTACTGCTGTGATTGTCTTGAACATTGTTGTGGGCTTTTTCCAGGAATATGCTGCGGAGAAGACCATGGACTCCTTGCGATCATTGAGTTCGCCCACTGGCACTGTCTCGCGTGAGGGAAAGACCAAGGTTATCCCCTCAACAGATATAGTCCCTGGAGACATGGTAGAACTCAAAACAGGGGACACTGTTCCCGCTGATATCAGGTGAACCTTTCCTTTCAACGTTCTCAAAATTTTCGAGCTAATGCAATCTTGCTAGACTTGTTGAAGCCGTCAATTTTGAAACGGACGAAGCACTACTCACAGGCGAATCTCTCCCTGTTCAAAAGGATGCTGAGCTCACCTTCAAGGAGGATGTCGGTCCTGGAGATCGCCTCAATATTGCATACAGCTCCTCTACGATAACTAGAGGGCGTGGTCGAGGAGTCGTAGTGGCGACTGGAATGAACACAGAAATCGGATCCATTGCCGCTGCGCTTCGTGCCTCAGATAGTAAGCGTCGCCCAGTAAAGCGCGGACCAAGCGGTGAAACGAAGAAACGTTGGTACGTGCAGGCCTGGGCTCTGACTGGAACTGATGCTGTGGGAAGATTCCTGGGTGTCAATGTAGGAACTCCTTTGCAAAGAAAACTGTCAAAACTCGCTCTGCTTCTTTTCGGTGTTGCCATTCTCTTCGCAATTGTTGTTATGAGTGCGAACAAATGGAGTAATTCGAATGAAGTTATTATTTATGCAGTAGCCACCGGGCTGAGCATGATTCCGGCATGTCTTGTGGTTGTTTTGACAATCACCATGGCTGTTGGTACGAAGCGAATGGTGCAAAGGAATGTTATTGTTCGAAAGCTCGATTCTCTAGAGGCTCTCGGTGCCGTGACAAATATTTGTTCTGACAAGACAGGAACCCTGACCCAGGGTAAAATGGTCGCTAAAAAGGCGTGGATACCTTCACTAGGAACATTTTCGGTAGGTAACTCCAATGAACCATTTGACCCAGAAACTGGTGATATGACCTTTGAGGCGCTGTCACCCGTTGACATGGATACCGATGCGACCGGAAATCCTAGTGTCCCACAAGATTTCCTGGACAACAAGCCCTTGGAGCATTTCCTCAATATTGCTGCGATGGCAAATAACTCCCACGTCTACAAGTCAGACGCCGGAGAGTGGCATGCGCGTGGCGAACCTACCGAGATTGCTATTCAAGTTTTCGCTTCTCGCTTTAAGTGGAATAGAGATCGATGGACCAAAGGCCACAATGCGATTTGGCATCAGAAAGCAGAATTTCCGTTTGATTCTGATGTGAAGAAAATGTCCGTCATTTACCATAAAACCACTCCATTAGAAGATCGGCAGATGGTGTTTTCGAAAGGGGCAGTCGAGCGTATTCTAGATGCCTGCACCTCCATCGAGTTGGACCAAGAAACCGGCTCCATTCCCTTGACTGATGATATCCGTGATCAAATTCTAGAAAATATGGAGTGCTTGGCTAAGCAAGGCCTTCGTGTTTTGGCATTTGCCGGCCGCGAATATACGTCTTCGGTGTTGGAAGATGCGGATATCAATCGTGAGGATGTTGAAAGAGATTTGCGATTTCACGGTCTGATTGGATTGTACGATCCCCCTCGTCCTGAGACAGCTGGTGCTATCAAGGAATGTTACAATGCTGGAATTGAAGTCCACATGGTTACTGGCGATCATCCTGGCACGGCCCGCGCGATTGCTGCTCAGATTGGCATCGTTCCATCAGACATGAGTATGGTTTCCAAGGATGTGGCAGACGCAATGGTTATGACAGCCAGCCAATTCGACAAATTGTCCGACGAAGAAATTGACAACTTGCCCACCCTACCACTTGTCATTGCTCGATGTGCGCCTCACACCAAAGTCCGGATGATACAAGCACTGCACAGACGTGGACGTTTTGCCGCCATGACTGGCGATGGAGTCAATGATTCCCCATCATTGAAGCATGCAGATGTTGGTATTGCCATGGGCGCATCTGGGTCTGATGTTGCCAAGGATGCTTCGGACATTGTATTGACGGACGACAACTTCGCTTCAATCCTCAATGCCATCGAAGAAGGTCGCCGTATCTTTGATAACATTCAGAAATTTGTTTTGCACTTGCTAGCAGAAAATATTGCTCAAGCCTGTACTCTTCTCATCGGATTGGCATTCAAGGATCGAAACGACCAATCTGTCTTTCCACTGGCACCTGTCGAGATTTTGTGGATTATCATGATTACCTCCGGATTGCCGGATATGGGTCTTGGAATGGAAGTTGCTGCGCCTGATATCATGGACAGACCACCACAGAGCGTATGTACTCTCGCCACTAGTCGTCGGCTGCACACACTAACATGTTCTTTTTGCGTAGAAACAAGGGATTTTCACACCCGAAATCATGGTTGACATTCTTGCCTATGGGCTGTGGATGTCCGCTCTTTGCCTTGCCGCCTTCTCTCTCGTCATGTTCGGTTTTGGCGATGGAAACCTCGGCGAAGGTTGTAACGAAATGTACTCTTCTGAATGCGACACTGTCTTCCGGGCCCGCGCCACGACCTTTGTCTGCTTAACCTGGTTTGCTCTCTTCCTGGCCTGGGAGATGGTCAACATGCGCCGCAGCTTCTTCCGTATGCAACCCAAATCTAAGAAATACTTCACACAGTGGATGATCGATGTGTGGCGCAACCAGTTGCTATTTTGGGCCATCATCGCTGGTTTCATCACGATTTTCCCTCTTCTATACATTCCGGTCATTAATCACAAAGTCTTCAAACATACTGGTATTACCTGGGAATGGGGTATCGTCTTTATCGAAGCTTTCCTCTTCTTCTTGGGCGTTGAGATTTGGAAATGGGGTAAACGCGTCTACTTCCGACGCCGTACGAGACGAGAGGAAAAAACTCCTCATGGAGCAGGTGAGCGAGTTGAAGACGATGAGCGATGACTGCTGACTAGCGCTGGCTCTTCCATCCAGCAAATTTCATTCAACTGGCCCAACATGCCAGGATGAAAGGTGCGTGCTGACCCTCAGTTGAATTTTTGGCCACGAAAATTTTGCTTTTCAACAGTTTTAAGGTCATGGTTGGGGAGGTACGTATGCATACCTCTGATCGTGTTGACAGTAGAGGAGGAATATCTTCAAATTGTCAATGGGTGCAGTCTGACATTCACAGAACATTATGCCCTGAATTACCCAGCTGCTTTGGTAGATTAGTATGTAACATAACTAGTATGCAGAGGATAGAGATGATAGCATAAAAGTCTAGCTTATATCTTTCTTTTTCTGCCATTGTTCGTCTCCCAAAATTGAATCTCCAGCATTTTCATGTCTTGTCAATGAGGAGTGTGGTGGATTGTATAAGAGGGAAAACAGAAAGAAAAAAAAAAAGAAATTAAGCCGAACGCGAGGGTCGAACTCGCAACCTTGTGGTTGAACCTTAACTAAATAAGAGCCACACGCTCTACCGATTGAGCTAGCCCGGCTATTTGGTTTTCCAAAATAGGTAAAATGTAAATACAGAATATCATAACTACAACTACAGAAAACAGCCTTCCTCTACCAATATAATTCTGGCGCGACTTTCTGAGATTGACAAGGACATAAATATTCACATCCATACCTGTTCTGCCCAATGCCCAGGCATATTCCCCAGCGACCGGCTTTTCCCAGCGAGGATGGCGCATTCTCCTCAACAGCGAGAACTAATGTTCCCCAACTCGTTCCTCCAAGAACAACAAACACCACCACCACAGCACCGACAGCGGCAGTGACCGGAGGTGCACATTATAATCGCCGTCGGCGGGTAGCAGTTGGACCTTCTGGACAAGCCTTTGTGGCTCACGGTGCTCCGGGAGCTGGGAATGCAAATCTCCAAGATGTGGAGGAAGGATTTGAAGGTTTAGACGATGACGAGGAGGATTTCGACGAGGGAGACGAGGACGAGGACAGTGATTTGGAAGATGAAGAAGACGACGACGAGGAAGGTGAAAATGAAGAAGATGAAGGAGCTGACGAAGATGAAGATTATGAAATGCAAGATGATCGTATGTTTCTTTTTTTTCTTCAAATCTCTTTATATTCCTATTTTCTAGAGACACACTTTTTGCTCAAAAACACATCTACAGCAAGGAATACCTCCGCCCCCATCCCTCCGAACTTCCGCGAAATCTCCTCCCTCGCCTCATGGACGGTATCAACCCACAAACCGGGCTGCGGCATCGCCGCCCTCCGTAACCCTTCCCCGTCGCAGTTTTGGCAGTCCGACGGCCCGCAGCCACACACGCTAACCCTACATTTCTTTAAACGCGTCTCCGTGGTTCGAATACGCGTCTATCTTGACTTTGAGCTTGATGAGAGCTACACGCCTACGAAGATGGTGTTTTTGGCGGGTATGGGCGGGAATGATCTCGTTGAATTTGCTGCGTGGCAGGGTGAGTCGCCTTGCGGGTGGGTGGACATTCCTTTAGATGGAGTTGGTGGAAGTCACGAAGGGCGGGTGAGGAAGAAAAGGCGTGGGATTAAGGGGGACAAGCAGACCCCGAACGGCCAGGAGAGTGGACACCACGAAGAACGATTTTCGTGGGGCAGCTCTACGAACGATGACGACGAGAGAAACAGCGACTACCACCACAGCGATAGTGAAGATGACGACGGCGTTTTCGACAATAATGACGAAGATCCAACGGCAGGAAACGTGCTTAAGGCCATGGTTATACAGGTCCGAATCTGTGAGAATCATCAGAACGGCAAGGATACCCATGTTCGAGGATTCCAGGTCTATGCTCGAGATGACAAATATTATTTCCGTACACGAAGCGATAGCACTCGAAAGTCTTTACGAACTAGTGGCGGCCCGAGAAAAGATGTTGGCGATATGCATACTGCTGAAGGCGAGACTGACAATGGTTTGGAGAATGGATTGGCGAGGATCGATGAATCAGATTGGTTCCTACGTCCCGAAATTCGTTAGATTTGCATTCCTGCAATTATCTTTGATGAGAGCTAGTGATCTCGTTTTTCCCTTTTTGAAGCACTTTTATTATTATCTTTTGTGATACCCAATGCATTATTAACATGCTGAGCCTCGACCTTTCAGCGAAGATGACTTACTTTTTCATCCTATACACGTGTCCAAAGTTTCTAAAATTCAGCTGAGCCTTAGCCAACTCAGGCGTGAACCATCGTATGTCTGTATGTATGTACATATGCTTTCTCTTTTTATAAGTCCCAAGCTTATAAGATCTTCTCTAGCTCCGCTGCAACAGCATCCCCAACGTCGCTTGTTGTTGCATTTCCGCCGATATCTCGTGTGCGAGTTCCTGCCTCGATAACATTGCACACTGCATTTTCGATAGCTTTCGCTTCTGTTATTCGGTTTAGGGAATATTGAAGCATCATAGCCATGGAAAGGATGGCAGCCACAGGGTTAACGATGCCTTTTCCGGCAATGTCTGGAGCAGAGCCTGCAGAAGTATCGCATAAGTTAATCGGAAGGCAAAGAGAGACGAAATAGGAAAGGAGAAGCAGAGATACATACCGTGGATGGGCTCATAGATTCCGTTCACTCTTGACCGGCCATCGGGAATTCCATTCAAGCTTGCGCTAGGTAGCAGCCCCAAGGAGCCAGGGATGACACTCGCTTCGTCACTGATAATATCACCAAAGAGATTGCTGGTGACCACAATGCCGTTGAGTTTTCGTGGGTCCTTGACCATTAGCATGGCTGCACTGTCAATAAGGTGATGGCCAAATTTGACTTGGGGAAACTCCTTTTCCATAATCTCCGTCACTACCTTACGCCACAGGCGACTTGTCGCAAGCACATTAGCCTTATCCAAACTCCAAACCGGCAGCGGTGGATCACGCTGCAGTGCGAGATGACCAGCTAGGCGGGCGATTCGCTCGATTTCCACTCGCGAGTATGGTTCCGTATCCAAAGCTATTCCATCGCCGTTGTCTTCGCGCCTTTCGCCAAAGTATATTCCACCAGTGAGCTCGCGAACGATATTGAAATCAACACCACGGCAGACATCGGCTTTGAGCGGGGAGATGTCAACGAGCGAGGGAGCAGCGAAGTTGCAGGGCCTCAAATTTCCAAAAGTGCCCATTTCTTTTCGAAGACGGAGGATACCTTGCTCTGGGCGAACGGCACCTGTTCCCCATTTCTACCCAATGTCTTATCAGTTCAATTTCTAAGGGTGGTCGGAACAGAGGATGAGACACATACCGGACCACCAACGGCTCCAAGGATCACAGCATCTGCGTTTTTTGCTGCTTCGAGAGCTTCGTCTGTTAAAGCACTTCCGGTAGCATCTATGGACGCCTAAAGAGGTGGGTCGATGAGCAAATGTCCCAATTGAACAAACCTACTACTATACTTACACCACCAAGCAAATGATGTTGAAAGTTAAACTCAATATCGCTTTTCTTCTTCTCAACTACTTTGAGAACCTGGTTCGTGTCACCGGATGTCGGGGGTTCCAATCAGCAGATTTTTCCTTATGACTCCGCGCTGCTCTAAATCAGCTTTGAACTGGTCGATTGCACACCTTGATTGCCTCTGCAATTACCTAAATATGGGAGGTAAAAAGGCACCGTCAGTATTGTCTTAATAGAGGTGGAGAACTGTGACTGAAGGCGATTTGGAGTAGTTACTTACCTCTGGCCCGCAGCAGTCCCCCGCGAAAACGACGATGTTGTATTTCACCATGGTGTATCTGGCAATGGGAGTTGAAGATTGAGATGTAATTGCGAGTCCAAGCAAGCCTCTTTAACAGGTAACTAGTAGACTCACAATTGCTGCGGATTGAACGAGCTGCGGGGGAGAATTTGAATGTTTTTGGAGCTGATTGCCCCACCATCCGATATCGGCTTAGATTAGGTAATTAGCTCTGCGGACCGGGAAGACCATTCCCTTTTTGGCAGTAGTGAAGACTTTCCAAAGAATATTCAAGGTTGTCGCTGTCATTTCAGCTGGGATTGTGTGAGGATGCTCTATGATAATAGCAACTAGAACGATGTATAGGATGCGATGGATTGCTATTCTGTGTTGCTGCCAAAGAGTCTACACTTTTCGATCCATCCCATGTTTCTTAAAACTTGCTGCCCATTCCCAGGAGTACCCTGTCGAGAGCTATAAGGAAGTGTTCTAAAAAAGTACATACAAATTTGCAAAACGGTGTCCTACTTGCTATCTTACATCTCTCCTTACTGGACCTTAAAATAGCCGTGGTGACATAAACAAAAAGAAACTCCAACCGCCAAATCACAGCTCATGTCTCCGATGAGCTGACAGGCTTTTGTCCGTAAACAAAATGGAACTGGCAATAGAGGTGGTTTTTCGGGTTCTTGATCTCCGCACGCACTCCGTCCATTAATACCTGGGTTTCTTCTACTGTATACCCCATCACTCGTGTACAGAGAGCCATCATAAATGGCTCGATAGCTGCAAGGACCTGCACTAATTGGTAAAAACCAAGCCGTTTCATTTTGGGGTCTTTGGGCCAAGTGCCAACGGGAATCTGGAGCAATATGTCAGCCTGTAACCCTGCATTTGCCAGCACTGAGGGGACAACAACTTTACCTTGTAAATGTCGTCCTGAACATTTACAAAGCCGGCGTCGATTAGTCTCTGTTTATGTTTTTCCGCCACGTTAAACTGTTTTCCAAATTTTATACTGGCTTCGTCTCCAGCCTGCTGGAGTTTTTTAATCAAAGGTGCATTGTCCAAGGTGTTGTCATCAGAACGCATTCCTGTCTCGTATTCTTGCATTTCAACCCATCCGCCTGGCCTCAGGTTCTTATAGATTTGTGCGTATAGGCGGTCCCAGTCTGCAATACTGCCTCCCATTCCACGTCCGTGAATGAAATCAAATTCTCCACCCGACTGATAAGACCAGTCGCTTTCGACATCATCCACATAAAAATTGCAATTCGGTGGAATCCACGTTGGCTGGATAGGGCTGAGATCAGTGCCAATCACCTCGCTGCTTGGAAATTCATCAGCCATATTGATCGCCCAAATTCCTAACACGATATCACTTGTCAGCCCCGCCATATTGTAAATAAAAAAAGTCCAATCACCTGTTCCTGTCCCAAAATCAAGGATTCGCTGAGGGTTTGGCGCCAGTGGAGCACGAAATAGACTACCGCCAAGTGTCAGGCGGAAAATGAAATGTAAAAGATCTAAACGATCCTGTTCTTTTTCGTCGTTAGGAAGGAGATCTATCATGAATATCTTTGCTCAGCAAGTTGACGGAGTCAGGGCTTCAGGTCCGAGATTGGAATATCTCACATTCACCGGCTCGATAAGCATGATAACGTCGGCCATTTTCGTATTGATAATGGTAAACGGAGGAAGCGAGAGATTCAGTGTCTGAATTCAGTGATGTTTGATCGGTTTCGTCGTCGAAGTTATCGGCCTTAGATGGAGTCAGTCCACCCCGAACGGAGTATTCCTGCGCAGTCTGAAAAAGAAATGGCA